GGGGTGGAGGCTGTTCTGACAGGTTTCCATGGCAACTGTGCCCAGTCTCCCAGCTCCAACATGTGGCTCTCCCCTAACTTCACATTAGCCCTGCCACTAAGGGGCAACCGTGGCCTCTCCAAGGGGCTTTCACTTCATTCATTCATTCATTCATTCAATAAAAGTTTACTGAGTGCATTCTGAGAGCCAGGAGCCTGAATAGCTGAGGGAATAAGAGATCCTGTCCTTGTGGCCTGATTTGGCTAATCGGGAGGTGGTGGACAGGACAGCACAGATGGGGAAACTGAAGGCTTTTAGACTTGTCCAAGGGCACATGGCAAGGCAAAGGCAGAAGTGGACAAAGTGCTGGAGTTGATGAGGGCATGGGCTTTCTCCCGGAGCCTGACACTGGGGTAGACCCCTCTTTGGAGGACTCTGCACCCCGTCTCTGAATGCTGAGAGGTATGGAGCCAGGCCTGGGCAGGGACTCCAGTGCTGTGTGTGACTCTAGGATACCTGGCCCTGGTTCTCCCCTTTTCTGAAGACCTTCCAACCTCTCCTTCCTTCCCAGCGTCTCTCTGCACCTGCCCCAGGGAACCTGGGCTTGCAGGTTCTGGTCACATCTCCCACTGCTCGCTTTGCCCCGGTGTTCTCCAGGGGCTGGCTGGAGCCCCAGGTGAAGCCCGGGACCCCAGACTAGCCCCCAAGCAGAAACAAGAAGTAGCATGAAAATTTCTCTCCATGCTGTAATCTCCTCCTCTTTTCAGTCCTGAATTAAAACACTAGATTCACAGAATATGTGTAGTGGGTTAGAGGGTGGTGGAGCCCAGGGATGTAGAAAAGGTGAAGAGGAAGGACAGGGGAGGTGAGTAGAGAGTGGGCCTCTTCCCAGACCTCCTCACTCCAAGATTCCCCAAACAAGGGTTTGTGAGCTTGTCCTATTGGTAGGCCCTGTTGCTATGGCAATATCCTTATTGATGTTACAGTGACAGCTGTCTGACCCTCCCACTACCCTTCCACCCCACCCAATTTTGCCAGCTCAAGCCAGTCTGTGTCTCCTTGGCCTGGTGTCTGCCTACAACCCTCTTCTGTCAATTCAAATTTGTTTCCTTCATTACACAGAGCCTGGGAGGCCCCTCTGGCTAAGACAGCATCTCCTTCCTGGCTTCAGCCTAATTACATGCCAGGAAGCCCAGCTGCCTCAGGACCAGGCTCCCCCAGCCACCAGAGCTTCCCTGACACTAGACAAGCAAAAGGGGGGATCGCCTGAGGGTCACAGGGTCACGGCAGAGCAGACCCAGAGCCAGAACCTCCTTGTCACCTACAGCTGAACTCAAAGGACCTTCCTCATATGACACCACATGTAGCAGGACAAGGCAGAGCCAGGCTCACAGATGTCTGGAGGGATTAAGGCTCAAACAGGAAAGAAGAGCTTCCACATGAAAGTGAGACCTGGGGAAAGCGGGGAAAGGAGTGGGGGGGCCCAGGGAGAGCCACTTCCCTTTGAGAAACCAGAAAGAGGCAAGGGGGCAAAAAGAATGACCCCTACATGTGCCAGCTGCATGATGATATTGCCAGTTCCAGGGAGGTGGGCCCCAGGCTTTCGAAAGAGGTCCTGGGGTCAGAGCTGAAGGCGGGCTCTGCGGGTCTACTGGCCCTGAGGAACGAGGGTAGGAATAACACACACCACGTTCTCTCCTCACTCCTAACTGCAAGGACTTAGGACTCAAGACTCTCTCCCACCCCCGGGCAGGCCTGGCGCCCCTTGACACCTTGCCTCAGGCCTGCCCCTGTGATGGATGCCCCTCCCTTCCTTTCTCAGCCAGTCTTTTGTTGGCAGGGATGGGATTTGGGCTGCCACGTCTTCTACTCACACATTTTCCCCAGCGTCTACCTCCCTCTGCTTGCCTGAGGGGCCTGTCCCAGCCTGCCCCTCATAAATAAGGGAACTCATGGTTCTGCAGGGGAGGGCCTGGTTCTGCAGGGGAGGGCCGGTGCCCAGGGCTTGGGGGGCCAGTGTTCTCCAGGCGCAGGAAGGCTTGGGTGAGATACCTCCTGCGGCAGCCCCTAAGGCAGATAGCACCTGCCAGGAAGGGGGTCTCTGCAAGGCCAAGACCAATGTCAAGACAGAGTGTGGCCTGGGCAGAGGTGTGATAGGGGGCCAGAGAGCAAGCTGCAGTGTGGGCAGAAGGAAAGAGGATGCTGCCAGCCAGGAGACCCTGCTCTGCCCCCATGCCAGGGGAAGTGTGAGTGGAGGTGGCAGCTCTCTGAGTCACAACGCGGAATCAGAAGTTCCCGATTATGGCCCACTCCTTCACTCCACCCTCTCACTGCTGGGAGCCCAGGGGCAGGGTGGGTGGAGCTAGGACATTTCAGAAAGGCAGCAGCTAGGATGGGTCCCTGACAGGAAGGGGACAGGGGCACACTTCAGGCTCTCAGGGGTCTCCGATACCCAGGAGAAAGCCTGACCAGGCCTTGTTTCCTGACTGGCTGACCTAATTGTTAGGTGAAACGGAGGCTTGACCAGGATGCTGAAGTACCCAAAGGGCGACCTGTCCAGTCCTACTGTTACCCTCTGCCAGGCCATGCATGGGAGATGGGTATGGTGAGCCCTCTCATGCTAGAAAGAGAGACATCCCCCCAACAATGCAATGGAACTGTGTTTGAGGCATTATGACAGGAGGTGACGAGAGCTGCCTGGAGGACTCAAGAAGATGTCCCAGAGGCTATGACATTTAAGCTGGGCCTTGGAGAAATTTTCCAGGGACAGTGTGTGTGGGGGGGGGGGGGGGGGGGGTGTGTGTCTGCTGCCAGTACGGGGAACAGCCTGAGCCCAAGTCCAGGGTCATGAAAGGAAAGAGCAGAGATCGGGAGCACTGAGGTTTTGGGGAACAGCGGGACAGTGACTTAGAGGCCAGGAAGAAAAGAGTCGGAAGGGCCCCAAGGCCTGAGCTGTACCTGGCATACAGCAGGCACTCAAGATCTGTCAAGTAAATGAATGAAGATCGGATATGTGCCCATGTTAGAAAGATCATCATCCCCTGTCAGAGTCATGGGAGTCGGTGACTCTAGACGTCTAGAATAGTAAGCAAAATTGGGTGGATGAGATACACTTCTTCTGAAGAAAGGGCGGAGGCCCTTACCTACATTCTACACTAGAGGCTAGACTAGAAACTCTGTGAAGGTAGGGATCACGCCAGTTCCATTCCCCGGTGTTTCTCCAGCCGCTGGCAGAGCGCCTGGCACACAGTTGATGCTATGTTAGATACAGAAATGAATCCACAAAGGGCCTATCACCACAAAGGGCGGGGACAGCCAAGAGCGGGACAGTGGAGGAGAAGAGGCTAAGCTAGGAGGCCAGATAAGAAGCTTGCGAGGCAGGGAGAAGAGTGCTTCCTTCTGGGGAAGTGATACCCAACTGCAGGGGATGGCATGGGGCGGTGCCCAGCAACAGAC